TAGAAAGCAAAGGCATGCTTCGTATATCAAGGAAAAAACAGTGAAATTGATGTCATAGTGGAGGAATGTGTGAAGACTGAAAACCTACTGCTCTTCTTTGACCTGCTCTTAGGAAAAAGGACAGATAGGCTTTTTGCTTATGTCATTCCTTGAGTGCCCAAAAACTCTTTGGAAGTTTTCTTATTTGTTAAGGAGTTTGTGTAAAATGTAGAATTCTGAAAATAAAATATAGGTCTGTGGCTTGCATCCCAGAATCTGACAGTATGTGTTTGGTTTAGTTCCTGGAATATCTGTGGGTTGGCAGTCACGAACTAGAATCTGGGACAGTGTATGTGACTGACTGCTAGCCAGAAGGCTAGAATTCTAGACTCAACTCTGCCAACTTTTGGCTGACATTAATAATGAGTCATTTTGTACCAACAGATACCTTTTGGCCTACTGATGAGCTAGTTATTTGGTGAGGTTCTGTTGTAGGAGGCATCAAGATAAGTACAGTTAGTCTAAGAAAGTAATAAATATAAAAAGGAGTAGAGAAGCCAGACACTGGTGTATCTTACCTATAATACTAGCTACTTAGGAGACTGAAATCCAAGGATTTTGGTTCAAAGCCTGCCTGAACAGAAAAGTCTATGAAACTTATCTCCAGTTAACCGGCAAAAGGCCAGAAGTGGAGGTATAGCTTAAAGTGGTAGAGCACCAGCCTTGAGGGAAAAAGCCAAGTGAGAACTTGAGGCTGTAAGTTGAAGCCCCAGTGTTGGCACTCACAGTGCAGATAAAACTGAATTCTTGGGATATGAAATAAAATTAAAATGAAATACTAAATGGAATAGATTTTATAGGAAAGGAGAATTTTTGGAACTTGTTCTAAAAGCAGGGTTACAGTTTTGGTGCTTGAAAATAAATCAAGGTAAAGAAAGAGAGTTAGACTGTATCTCAGTAAGTTTGTAGTACTCTTGTTTTGTTTTGCTTTTGGTACCAGTCCTGGGGTTTGAACTCAGGAACTGGACACTGTCTCTGAGCTTTTTTGCCCAAGGCTAGTACTCTACCACTTGAGCTACAAATCTACTTTTGGCATTTTGCTGATGAGTCTCACAGACTTGGCTGCAATCCTCAGCTCTCAGCTTTCCTGAGAGCTAGAATTGTAAACGTGAAACACTGGTGCTCTTTTATCTGAGGCAGTACCCCCAAATTGCTATCAATTAATGAAGCAGCCATGTGTGCTGGTGCAACTTACTTTACTTGTTGTAATTTCTAAAGCAAAATGTTCTATTTTACTTGGTTAACAAATATATGCATATACATTTATGTATGTATGTGTGTGTACATATGTGTGTGTAGTCTTTCAGAATAACCAAATTGAAGTTGTCTATAAGGAAATAAAGAAAGTGATGATGGGCTATTGTGGTGCACACTTTTGTAATCTTAGCATTTTGGACGCTGAGGCAGGAGGATCCTGAGACCAGCCAAGGCTGCTGTACTGAGGCACTGGCTTTGAAGAGAACATAACATAAGAGAAAATTGCTTTTCTGCCAGGAGTAAAGAACACTAACAGATACTATAAAAAAGAATTTAATTCTTTAAACGGAATTTAGAACATCAGACTGGAAAATCAAATCACTTAAGCTTCTCATTTGTTAAATAAGGAGATTGGATTAGATAACTCGGCAGCTTTTTAATCATATTTAAACACTAGTTATTTTTAGAACAGTTCAAAAAGGTCCCATGATTTCAGCAGCCCTTTAATGAATCCATGAAATATGTCAAACATTCAATATACTTTATTTAACTCCCTCATCACCATTTTAAGGTGGTAGAAGCATAGGCTACTTTTTTCTTCCTCTTTCTTTTCTATCTCTTCCAGTTGAATGTAATTTTCCTCAGATAATGTATGTCTTTTATTCATAGTTTGCCCCATGGTCTTAACATAGGAACTGATATCTGTTAGTGTCTGAACATCTAGAAGATACTTGGCAGTGTTAGAAAGATGCAGAAGCATCTGAGGCCAGTATACTGTTCATAACTAGCAGTCCTATTGTGTTGTGTGGTTTGTTCATATGAATGCCTTCCTCTTTTTGTCTTAGTGTATCCTCCAGTCTCTTTTAATTAGAAATCGACTCTATCATGCTTTGTAAACATCCAAAATGGAAAGTAATCTCTCTTAAATATCTGTATTATCCACCTCAAAATAATTTCCTCCTCTAAGAGTTGCTGCAGATGTTATACTCTGTTTACCTGTGACTTTTCTTTGACAATGATCACTCTTGCCTTCTTGGTTTTCCCATGCCATTTTTTACATACATATTTCACTATGTGCCTCATTGTTGCATTTTTGTTTTTGCTGCTAAGCTCTGAGTTCAGTGAGGATAAGGATGCTGAATGGAAGCTAGAGTGATGGCATCAGCAGTCAGGATCTCATCAGGAGCTCATTGTTCTTTTTTCTATTTTCTGAAGGAGGAGGAAAAATGGTGAAAGTCTAAACTTAGTCTGGAAGATACATCAGTTGTTAGATGTGCACTAGTGAAAGAACAATTGAAATCAGATGTACAAATGTAGCACTTTGACAACCCCACACCTTACTGGCTTGGGGTGATTTTCACAGTGAAAGGTGAGGTAATTAAAACTAACTCCATTCTGCAGATAAAGAGACTTAACTGTTTTCCCCCTTTTTCACAATTGTCTTGCACAAAATGCATCTTAGAGGAAATGGATCTGAATCCAGTCCCTGTTCCTGGTGCCTGATTGTACTGTCCAACATATCAACACCAAATGGTGGGAATCAGCTTTTGTGTTTTTATTTTAGTCTTTTAGGTGAATTATGCCAAGGAAATCATAGTTCTGATCTTGAAATGGAAACTGGTAGAAGATATGATTTAAGAGTAGTTGACTTTGTATACTAGCACTTGGAGCTTATAGAAATTGAATGCTCTTTTAGAATCTATTAAACACATTGGACTAAACCCAGGCACCAGTAGCTCATGCCTGTAATCCTAGCTACTCAGGAGGCTGAGATCTGAGGATCACGGTTCAAAGCCAGTCTGGGCAGGAAAGTCCGTGAGACTCTTATCTCCAATAAACCACTAGACAACTGGAAGTGGTGCTGTTGTGGCTCAAGTGGTAGAGTGCTCGCCTTGAGCTGCAGAGCACAGGGCAGCACCGATGCCCAGAGTTCAAGCCCACAACTAACCAAAAGAAAAAAAAAAAGAGTAGTTGACTTTGAGCTAATGTCAGATTGAATGTGTGTTCTGTATACTCCCTTTGAACTAACGTATTTATTTATTTATTTATTTTTGAACTAACGTATTTATATTTAGTTAAGAATACCTTTTAAGCCAGGCGCCAGTGGCTCACACCTATAATCCTAGCTACTCAGGAGGCTGAGATCTGAGGATCATGGTTCAAAGCCAGCCTGGGCAGGAAAGTCCTTGAGACTCTTATCTCAAATAAACCACCAGAAAACTGGAAGTGGAGCTGTGGCTCAAGCGGTAGAGTGCTTGCCTTGAGCTGATAAGCAGAGGGACACCACCAAGCCCAGAGTTCAAACCTCACAACCGATCAAAAAAAAAAGAATACCTTTTAAATACCCCTAATTCCAAATAGCATCAAACCATATGATGAGAACTTATTTGGTACTTGCCACACAACTTGTGATAGATTCTATTATTGCTATTTTATATCTGTTCACAAGACCCCCAAAACTAAGGCAAACAGAAGTTACATGTCTTGCTGAGATCACATAGCTTATAAGTAATAGAGATTCATTTAGAACTTTGGTACCAAGAATCCAGTACTCTCCTTTACTACATTCTATTTGTATATACTTTAAATATATAGGGACATACATGCCTATTTGAGAAATTTAACTGAATTTTGAATACTGATTGTGAGTCCTAATGATGTGTATAGTGCATTGTTTATATACAGTAATCTGTGTGGCTTTTTCTGTTTTTAAAAGAAATATTATCGGAAGTGGTGCTGTAGCTCAAGTGGTAGAGCGCTCGCCTTGAGCTGAAGAGCTGAGGGACAGCTCCCAAGCCCAGAGTTCAAGCCCCATGACCGACCAAAAAAAAAAAAAAGAAAATAAAAGAAATATTATGATAAAAGGATTAATAGGACAAGCACCAGATTCTCCCTTCCTCCTTTTCAAGATATATACATATTTGTATATATACTACGTATATCTTACATATATAACAAATACATATATGTATATGACATATATATGTGTACACATGTATATGTTATATATGTGAGATATATGTAGTATAGTATTACATATAGTATTAATGTTCCATATACATAATGTTTTGTATATTGGAACATTAAGTTTTACAACTGATTGGTTGAATGCATAAATACTTTGATATAGTGAAGGCTATTCATTTGGAGGATGAAAAAGCCTCACAGCCTTTTCACAATTGTTTTCACAATTAGCCCACTGGTGGCTTCTGTTAGTGCATCTGATTGGAATCATGTTTCTGACCTGACCTAGCAGTTAGGATACTCCCTAAGTGCATCCTAATTGGAAATGAATCACCACTTTGATTATTTTGAACTGATCAGACATTGAGCTTTATTTCTATGGCTGTCAAAGGTTTTTACATGTGTGTTGACAACAACTTTTTACAAAAGCTATCCAAGACAAAAATAAGTGAAATCCTTAGAAACAGTTGACTTGATTTGTCAGCTGCTTTATCTTAAATTAAAAATCTTGATCTTGAAGAGTGAATATACCATATCAGTCTACAGGAAAATTGTAAATAGAAGCATAGCTTGTGTAAAGTTCTTTTTACATTTATGTAATTTACATAGCTTAGCAATAAAGTGCTTTTGTTTTAGAATTTAGGCTTTGCATGTGTGGGTGGGATGGTGGAGCTAAAGTAAAATAGAAAACATTTTCTTATTGTATTACAAAATAAATACCTTAATGTTAATCTCTAGTAAATCTTGGAATTATCTCTGCTGCTTGAAAAGTAAAGATCCTTTGCTTTTTTTTCCTCTAGAAACGTGCTAAGGGTCAAATGTTATTTGACAAAGTGTGTGAACACCTCAATCTTCTGGAAAAGGACTACTTTGGACTTTTGTTTCAGGAAAATACTGAACAAAAAGTAAGTGATTGCAACTTTATATTTTTAAAACCAATTTAATCTCAGTATAAAATTTAGCTTTAAATAACGCTTGTTCAGATTATATTTATATTCACCATGCAAATTTGGTGAATAAGAATTATCTTGAATGAGAGAACCACTTACAACTTTGTGTGTGTGTGTGCACATGTGCGTGTACACAACTTTCCATTTATGAACAGACAGAATGGTATGACTTCTGAGTTGAGACAGAAAGAACTAATTTAAAAATTATATTAAATTTTCAGCTCTTATTCCTTATGGAGTCATTTGCGGTGATGAATTTGTATGTGTGTGAAGTACTTTAAAAATACATAAAGGACAGATTTTATTTTATTTTGTTGGTCATGGGGCTTGAACTCTGGGCCTGGGCACTGTCTCTGAGCTCTTCAGCTCAAGGTGAGCACTCTACCATTTGAGCTATAGCACCACTTCCAGTTTTCTGGTTTATTGGTGGCTTATTGGAGGTACGAGTCTCATGTACTTTCCTGCCCAGGCTGGATTTGAACCATGATCCTCAGATCTCAACCTCCTGAGTAGCTAGGATTACAGGCATGAGCCACCAGTGCCCAGCTAGGAGAAGACTTTTAATTGTGGGGAAATTGATGTTCTGGAATAAAAACAAAAAACTTTATAAGTGGTATTATATCAATCACATTCTCTCTATTCCTGTTTCTTTGTGCTAAATATAGAAGCTAATCAAGTCAGCTCATTTTGTTAGCATACACATGTGCAGCACCTGTATATCAGTTACTGAGCATTCCTGAAAAGTAGAGAGGCATTGGAAGGAATGATAAGTGTAATAATACCTACCTATATTTGTTTAGAGGCTCAGGAGAATTTGTCTTGCTGAAAAGACCAGAAGGGTGCTCTTGCTCTGTTGCTGATGAGAGCCATAGATGAGAGCTAGCTTTACTTATATGGTAGATTTTTCCACCAGTCAGATCTGCTTGACATCAGGAGTTTGGTTCAGATTGCAGCCTATAGAGGAAGTCCTTCTAACCTGTTTGGGGCTGTGGATAGACAGACTCACTGTAATAATTCTGAGGATGCCCAGCGCACTTGGTAACAGTGAAAGACATTACTATCCAATATCTAACATTCAATACCATCAGTAGAACAGAACAGTCATTACAGGAACTTAGTGTAAATTTTGTTATTTGCTGCCACCATTGTTTCTATTTACATGTCCAAGAATGAAAAAAGGAAGGCTGGGGTGATCATTAAGTAAATTAATGAAGCTCTAGAGTTGCTCAGTTTTTTATATCTTCGATAATTTTGGCTTAATTATGTGTTTAGACTGAAGACAATTAAATTGCATGCCTGCCTACTGAACAGTGTATATTTTATCAGAACTGTTTAGAATACTCTTTACCAAAGTAGATGAAATAAACTAGGTGCTATTTTAAGACTATAAGTTTTAAGTTTTGCTCCTTCTGTTAGCCTTAAAAGGGTCCTGAGTAGAACAAAAAAGAATGTGGTGGGCATTTGGCTGCTATTACCATATCATTATTTTTGAGAGTCTATATTGATATATTGATAGAAGTATTTAATCTTTGTAAAATATATAGACAATTTATTATGTTGTAAAATAACGTGTTCTAGTAGAAACAGAATAAGACACATTAAGAAATATTATATAGGGGAGGGAAAGTGGGAGAAAAATGAGGATGGGGTAACAGTGTTCAAGAAATGTATTCATTGCCTTACTTATGTATCAGTAGCTCCTCTGTACATCATTTTTACAATTAAGTTAAATTAAAAAAAGAAATGGTATATCTAGAACATTGATTTCACCTAAGAAAGAGTGATATTTAAATAGTAGAACTCTTTTTCTAAATTTAATTTGCAAAATACATGCCTTGTTTATATCTTAAACCTGAGTCTCAGACTCATACATACTTAACTGTTTATTGGACACTATTGTACCTTCAGTTGCCTAAAAACCAACTAGTTATCTTCTCTGTAAACATTATCTGATTCCTGAAGGGTAGTTCTGAATTCCTTTTTCTTCTTTTCCTTTGTCTTGCTTTTCAGCATCCCTCTTTTCCACCTGCACGGATTTTACTTTTGTTTAGGCCTTTGATATCTCTTGATTTGATTGTTAGTCCCTTAATTGGACTTTTATCTTCTGTTAACTGAACTAATTAAGTAAGCCCATATGATTCTATCTGATCTTGTTAAATGTCTTAGAATCATTTAATGGTTACAATCTAGCCCATGTAGTGTGGTTTATAAGACACTTTGTTTATGTGACTTCAATCAAGTTGGGCTTCTCAGTAATCATTTCCAACCCATTTTCAACGTATTCCTAATTTCTCTTCCAAAAATGAGTCTTGTAAATACACTCTATGTCTGCTTGACGTATTCCTTACACTGAGAATATTACTCCCATTGCTTTTCTATTTAAATGTCTACCTTTCCCTAAATATCTTCTGGATTTTTCCTAGACTGCCTTCTGTCACTCTGCCTGTCTTCAATTCAGGGGAAGAGAGATGGCAGTTTGTACTTTCATCAACAAAGTTACCCTTTCTTCTCATTACCTATAACTACATCTGAAAATGGAATTATGAACTGAAAACTGGAGAATTGTATTTTGACAAGACCCAGGTTTGGCAAGGAATACAATTGTTGATTTCAAAGAAAGACGAAGGTCATTAAAAACAGTATAAGATAAGAATAGGTTTGGGTAGGTTTGTGGTAATATTTTCATTGACAAAAAGATGCTAATACTAAATTAAGTGCTCACTTTATATTTAGGCTTTCACTTAAGAACATTGAGGTCATAAACAGTGGGGATCCTTCCTGAGATGTTCACTTTCTAAGAAATGTGTATTCCAATATAGTTATCAGTGTATTTCTGTAATTAGTGTGTTTTCATAGTTTTTATTTTATGTAAATTTTTATTCTTCCTATTATGTAGACAAATTCTAGTCCTCAATATTTTGGGGTAAACTAATTCTTTATTTTTCCAATAAAACTTGCATGGCATCCTGTTTTGTTTTGATAATTAAAATTTTTGTATTATTCCTTAATCAGTTGTGCTTGGTTTGAAATCTGTACATTTTTAACAGTAGGATAGAGTAATGTAATTTTATTTCTTCATCTTTTTTGTGCTGAGGACTAGGATTTCGTGTATGTTAAGCATGTGCTCTACTTTCCAACTATACCCCTAGTACATTTTTTTCATGCTGAATATTATTTCTTTTTTTTTTTTTCAATTATTGCATTTTATTACAAGTAGTAATTCAATTATAAATGTATTTTTTTTCTTTCTTTCTTTTTTTTTTTTATTGTAAAGCTACTATACAGAGGGTTACAGTTACATGAGTGAGGTTATGAGTACACTTCCTCTTGAACATTGTTACCCCCTCCATTGTTTTCCCCCTACCATCCCCTCCCTCCCTCCCTTCCCCGAGGTTCTTTTTTTTTTTTTGATTGTGATTAAATGATTACATAATTTCAAAGTCACAAGTTCATTCTAACTTCCCTGGAGCAAATTGTCTACCACAGTCTGTAATATATAACAGTGTTCACATGTTATATACCATATTTGTGATCAGCAGCATGAGGATATTTAGTAGTGGTTCAACCAGATGAGCGGGAGTTCTTTGTTTCTTAAGTCCTGTTAGTTTTGTCGTATCACCTAACCTTTTGGATTTAGCATCCACTTATGAGGGAGACCATGTACCATTTGTCTCTTCGTTCTTGGCTTACCTCGCTCAACATGATTCCTTCTAGCTCCATCCATTTCCCTGCAAATGCCATTATTTTGTCATTTCTAATGGCTGCATAATATTCCATTGTGTATAGATACCACAATTTTTGGATCCATTCATCTGTGGTGGGGCACCTAGGTTGTTTCCATATCCTAGCTATTGCGAACAGTGCTGCAATAAACATGGAGGTGCACGTGTCCTTGTATATTGGTTCCTGTTGTTCAGGGTAGATGCCTAGAAGTGGTATGACTGGGTCGTAAGGGAGGTCAATCTTTAGCTTTCTAAGGACCCTCCAGACTGCTTTCCAAAGTGGTTGTATAAGTGTACATTCCCACCAGCAGTGTAATAGGGTTCCTCTTTCTCCACATCCCCTCCAGCATTTGTCGTTGGCTGATTTGTGGATGTGGGACATTCTGACTGGGGTAAGGTGGTATCTCAGGGTTGTCTTTATTTGCATTTCCTTCACCACCAGGGATGATGAACATTTCCTCATGTGTTTCTTTGCCATTTTTATTTCTTCATTTGAGAAGTCCCTCTTTAGTTCCCTTGCCCATTTAGTAATTGGTTTGTTAGGTTTGGGAGGGATTAGTTTCTTGAGTTCCCTGTATATACAGGATGTTAACCCCTTGTCTGATATATTGCTGGTAAATATTTTTTCCCAATTAGTTGGTTGTCTTTCTAGCTTAGTTGCGATAGATTTAGCTGTGCAGAAGCTTTTTATTTTAAGGTAGTCCCATTTGTCGAGTCTCTCTCCAACTTGTTGTGACCCTGGGACTCTGTTCAGGAAGTTCCTTCCTGTGCCTATTAGTTCAAGTGTCTCTCCTACTCTGTCCTGCAGTAGTTTCAGAGATTCAGGTTTAATGTAAAGGTCTTTAATCCATTTTGAGTTGATGTTGGTGCATGGTGATAGGCTGGGGTCCACTTTTAGTTTTCTGCATGTGGCTGCCCAGTTTTCCCAGCACCAGCGGTTGAAGAGGCTGTGTTTCTTCCATTGTATGTCTTTGGCTCCTTTGTCGAATATCAGCTGGCTGTAGGCCTGTGGATTTATATCTGGATCTTCTATTCTGTTCCATTGGTCTTCGGGTCTGTTTTTGTGCCAGTACCATGCTGTCTTTGTGATTATAGCTCTGTAGTAGAGTTTGAAGTTCGGCATGGATAGCCCTCCCATATTGTCTTTATCCCCTAGAATTGTTTTGGCTATTCTAGGTCTTTTGTTGTTCCATATAAATTTTTGGACTGTTTTCTGTATTTCAGTGATGTACG